TATATATTTTATTGAAACGCTTCAAGTGCCTGTGATACTAATTACTAGTAATAGTATTAGTATTAGTAATCGGCTTGCCTCGGTCACTGCTTGGAGTCCTCGCCAGACTGGTCGGCTGTGAATGGTGATGTATCCGCCCGTCCAGTTCACACGGGTTCATGTTGGGGGGCGGAGGCTCCTGCGTATGCGACGTCGACGACGAATGATGATGGCGAAACTGATCGGCGGCGGAGAGCAGCGCCGCTGAAGATAGCGTCGTCGTCGTCGTCGTCGCCGCAGTCATTTTCTGCAGTCCGTACATGTCGGCGGCGGAGGAGGAGACGCGGTGGTGGTGAGGGTGGTGGTGGTGGTGGTGATGTGGCAGCGTCGATTCTTCCAGGTCGAGCAGCCGACTCACGGTGAAGTTTTTCGGCACGTACCTGTCGTGCGGTACCGCCCCGCCGTCTGCTCCGTAGAAAAAGTGATGGTGTGGGCCGGCGAGCTCGGCCGCCGGTACGGAGCGCCGGGCGGCGTCGCTGTCAGCTAGATCGAGCATGTAGCCGTGACCTGGCATGACCACACGTAGATGCCGTTATCACGGAAGCTCGTGATCGCTCGCTCGCTCTGCTTCGCACACGCGCTCGCACGTGTGTAACGCCCGATAGGCAGGCAACGATTCTTATCGCGCCGCAAAACAATTATTCCGATTGTTTATTTTTCAGGTTGTTATTGTTTTTGTGGTTTTTTGTGTGGTTGTTGTTGTTGCTGCTGTTTTTGCTGTACGCGTGTGTTCTACGTTCGCTGTAAGGCGCGCATATCTATCGTCTTGTTTCTCGCATTCCGCCGCCGGTAACAAACGCACATTCGCCGTGACACCACTGTCTCCGTGTCCGTGCGGTCGTGTAGTCAATGCACGTGTAGCATGCAGTAGTACCTTCCCGCACTGCTGGTACTGCTCCGTCGATGTTACGCGCTCACTCGGCGGGCGAGGATGAGAGAGAATCGAGAGCGTCGTTGCTGCTCCTACTATGAAGGCGTCCGGCGGTGATATATGGCAGTTTTCACAGACGAAAGGTCCGCGGTGTGACCGTCATTGGCGGCAGACTCCTGGCGCTGAGCGTACGCGCGCGCGAATGAGAGTCTGAGAGAGTGAAAGAGCGTGGAGAGAGAGAGAGAGAGAGAGAGAGCAGCACACCCGATTACCGGACTTGTAGCAAGAAGTGACGGGGCAAAAAGTTCGGGCGCGAATGGCATATCTCAAGCCTGGCCCGGCGCAGCACGCAAGCACACGCCCCCTCCGCACACATTGTCACAAGACATGCCGGGGCCACGAGTTGCGAGTCGGTGATAATCCAGGCGCCCTCGCGCGCGAATTCCGCCGCGGCAACCCGATCCGATGCCATCGCCGAGCCGCAGACACTGCGCCCATCTGGCGCTGTCTGTATTGTTTTATGGCCCGTGCGTCGTGGAGCGAACACGCGGCAAAGGAGGAGGAGAAGGAGCGCGGGAGAACGCGAGGAGAGAGAAGCTAACGCTCCAACGCTCCATTAGGAGCGTTCCCAACTTTAATGTCATTAATATCGTGATATAAAAGAGATATCAAGGGGGGCGGATCGATATAAAAGAGATATCAAGGGGGGTTAGATATGAAATAGATATCAAGTGACTACTCAAGCAGGAGGAGGAGCGCGGGAGAACGCGAGGAGAGCGAGACCGGCGGATCCCGGTCCTCGAGTCCGCACGTGCTCACTCACTCACTCACTCACTCACTCACTCACTCACTCACTCACTCACTCACTCACTCACTCACTCACTCACTCACTCACTCACTCACGCACGTGCATGGGTACGTGAGCGAGTGAGTAAGTGAGAGAGAGTGTGAGAGAGAAAGAGAGAGAGCGAGAGAGAGAACGCGAAGAGCGAGATGCAAAAATGCGCGCGCGCAAAACGATTGACTTCTTCATAAAGTCGTTGACATATCCGATCATTATTGCTCCCGTGGTGGTGCTTCTAGGGATTGTGTTGTTATTATATTATAACCGTATCGGTGTTTCCAGGGCTTGCCTTATTACGTTACATAACTGTTTCCAGGGCTTGCCTTGTTACGTTACAGTAGTGGTTCCATGGCATGCCTTGTTACGTTACAGTAGTGGTTCCATGGCTTTCCTTAATTGTTACGTTACATCAGTGGTTCCATGGCTTGCCTTGTTACGTTACATCAGTGGTTCCATATATGGTTTGCCTTGTTACGTTACATCAGTGGTTACATAACTTGCCTTGTTACGTTACATCAGGGGTTCCATGGCATGCCTTGTTACGTTACATCAGTGGTTCCCTGACTTGCCTTGTTACGTTACACCAGTGGTTACATGGCTTGCCTTGTCAGGTTACATCTGTGGTTACATGGCTTGCCTTGTTACGCTACAATCGGTGGTTCCAGGGGTTGGCGTTATTAGATTATAATGACGTTTATGCGAACGGTTGTTGTTTCTTCCACGTGTCGGTGCTTCCAGGGTTTGCGTCATCATTGCGTTACGACAATCAAGCGTAAGATGTCGGAAGGCGATGATGACGTAGACGGTATTTATTTCACCGCAGTGGCTACGCGTCCTGTCATCCATTACAAAGCTTAGCACAGATTCCCATATCAACGTCACGATTAGGCCACGCCGATCACGATTCCACGTTGATTTTACTGGATTTACTATTGCTTCAATAACAAATGTTGCAAAAACACATTTATTTGATAATATACCTAACGGAAAGTAATATTATGGTAAAAACTTATTGTTTTTTACTGAAAAAATATAGT